ATTATTATTTGTTTTGATTAAAACAATATTTGTCAATTTGTCAAATATTTTTTCTTCTTTATTAAAGGAATTGCCATGAAATTTTAAAAATTCCTTATTCATGATTTCAGCTGCTTTGAGGAAATGTGTGGACGGATACATGCAATTGCCTCTGGAAACTGTGCAAATCCAATCATTTGGTGGATTGAGCAAAAATTTAGTTGGAATTCCTAAATCAGTGTAACGGTTGCGAAATCTGTGTGCTACATAGCCCGTTATATATAAAAGTGCATTGTGTTCTATTATTTCTTGATTATTTAGTGTTTCAAACTCTTCGAATAATTGTAATTCTTGAAGGCTAGGTTCATAATTACTTAAATCATTCACTAGAAAAATAAATAGTTAATGCGTTATTAAAATATATCTCAACATTAATGTCCAACAATAGCTGCGTTCAGCAGACACAAATGTTGAGTGAGCGTTCAGTGATTTCTTAATATGATTTGCTGGATCTAAAAGTATTAACCAATCATACTGAGCGCTCACTCAACAGTTGTGTCTGCTGAACGCGGCCATTAATAGCAGAATAGCGTTTAAACATGTTATTGACGTTAGAGACGTCATTAAAATGTCATGTAACGCCACTTTGCTTGAATAGTACGATTGGGTATTTATCACCTATTTATGTACCCTTTTGTAATATAATCTTTGCGAATGCAGCACTGAAACGTGAACTATCAAGGCACAAGTATACATTATCAAACAGTTACAATTTTATACCTTCTGCTGTGTCTTCTGGTATGTTATGTTCACTCATTTCTTTCTTTTCTGTGATATCGGCATGTCCAATTTGAGGGAAATCCATTAATACATCATCTGCTTCCTCTGAAGATAATTGGTCAGTCAAAAATATGGAATCTGGGCTATGTACATCCGTCATGGTAATAAAAGAATCACAGGTTTTATCCCCTTCGGTATTTTTGTGTGCAGACACTACGTGTTCGGAATGTTTCCCAAGTATGTACCATTTCAATCTATTTTTTAATTCCACGGGTGTGGGATGATCATATCCACTTCCCATGGATCGTATATAAGAAAAAAAATTTTCAAGAATGTCTTGATTTAAACGTCTTGTCAACACATATTGTATGTTAAACGTATCAGACGAGAATTTCTCCTGTAAATATGTAAACATTTCTTGCAACGATGTGTTACACAATAAAATGCCTTTCTGAAATTGCAACAAACTCTTTCTGTGCCCGACTCGCATTTCTGTCACAAGTTCATTCATTTTTTGAAGAATCTGATTTTGTTCTTGTATACTGACACCATAAGCATGTGATACGCTGCATTTGCCATATTTCAACGAACTGTTTAAGATATCGAACCAGTTGTTAAATAGTTCAAAAATCTCAAATGTATTTTTCCAATGTGTTCTGCCAAAATAATTATGTTCACCACACCATTTAATAGCTAATGCATTTGTTTTTGAGAACAGTTGGACCGCTAATTTAACATTTTGCCGCTGTGTCCCTTTTACATCAAGATGTGTTGTTGTTAACTTATGGCATATTTTTAACTCCCCGTTATTTAATGTTAATAATTTTTCTAGACATGTTTTATCTACACAGTTTCCTTTAATATTGAATCCTGAGTCTAGGAAATTATTTCTGGCTAATTTTATAAGATGCGGAACATCTGCATAAAAATATATTTTGTAGGAATTGTTAGCAGGGTGCAAAATGAAACATTGTTTCTTGAAGTCTGTTGCAGTTTTGTCCTTGGAATGACTTGAATTTTCAACTCCGATACGTAACTCGTTCCACAACTTCATATTAGTTGGACCCATATCACACGTTATAGCAACTACAATATAGTTCATTTCATACAGATGTCGTATGACAGAAAATAAAATATCACTGGACATTGGTGTATCAAAATTATAATATATTGGTTGCTTCCAATTTTTAAATAAACCCCGAGCCATGATGAACAAGCAAGTTTTATGAGGTCCATATATTCTTTGCGCTTTTCGGTCAATGTCAAACTTATTTGATATATATACATCATCAAATGTTAGAACCGTTAATTTCTCTACTGTTGACAACTGCTGTCCTTTATTTGCCATAATGTTCATGACATCTTTTAAAATTCCAGGTGAAACGTTAAAATTACTTATCCAAGTATGTAACGTTGTTAAAGATGGTAATGGGATATTTTTAACGTTTCTCAGATATTTGTAAGCTTTGGGGCTCAAAGAACGTAAAGAAATAGCAGACGTTATGTCTTCAGCTGACCATCGTACGCGACTGCGAGTTGACGACATTAATATTGCAATTTGCCCTGCTGTAAATACTTTACGCAAAGCATTGATAGCTATTTCTTCAGCTTCTTTCTGCACATCCTTTTTTATTTGTGTTACTTCCGCTCGTAATTGTATTATTTCCTTACTTAATTGGACATTTTTATTTTCCAATTCTCTGTTTTCTTTGAGGAGTTGTTGCTGCTTTCCTTCTGAATTTCGAAGCTGTTGCAATATGTCCGTTTCAGTGTTATTTGTGCCACTTTCTGTATTTCTGTAAAATAATTTTTGATACAAAACAAACATTGAATATGATAGATAAAACTGTACACACAATACAATGCAGCTACATACTTATGTAGTTGTATCATATCATTATGTTCTTTTGTAATATCCATAGATTCATCTATCTTATATTGTGCAGGCTCTTCTGTTTCCATATGTTGTATAGTGTCTTCATGTGACAAATGTTGTTTATTTTTTGCATGCTGCTTGAATGTAAGCTGTTTATATGTTGGTATACCAGTCCTTCTGCAACGACATCAAAACATTATTAGTTGTCTTTATATACGTATACATTAAACAATATAATTTTTTTATCGTATGGAAATTACGGTTTGTTATTTATTATATCCTTTCTGTTGTTTTCCTTTTGTAATATTCTGTCTGTATTGTTTTCTGTATTTAATACTAATTGTTTGGATGGAACAGAATCTTTTTTTAAACGTTTCAATTCTTTGATCGGTGTAGTTTTT